CGGCTGCATCACGCAACAAGGGCGCACAAGTCACCACTCGATGGGGCCTTCGATTATACGTGCCTTGTAGTCATAGCACCTTCGCAACTGAGCATTTCGCCGCCGCCACCCCGGCCGTCTTCGCTGCACGCCCAACCTTCTCCCACACATTCCACGCTACCACCAGCAGGGATTCTCGTCTCGGAAGACCCTGAAGCATCATCTGGTTAGCGCATCCCAGGGGCCCACCCTTCTAGCATCCTTCATCCGTGTGCCTTGGTCTTGGCCTAAACCCACCCACGGCATACTCTTGCCGACGCTCGCCCACCTGGCTCCATTCTCAGACCTACTCCCTCAGAGCCGCACTATACTGTCTCTTGCAATGAACCCGCACATTTCCGTCAACGAGTACCCGCCTACTTCAACCCAAGACGACGGCCATCCCAACTACAACTCCGACGACATGTCAACCTCGTCGTCAACCTCGTCCGTCAGCGAACAGGACATGAAGACCGACCCCACACTGCAGCGGCCCCGTCTAGGGAGCCGAAAATCGAGCGGCACCATCATAATACCCCGCGACAGCCCCAACGTCGAGATGAAGGAGGAAGAGGAGGAGTACGACGACGGCGACGCCCGCACCATGAGCCCTCGCCGAAGTAGCGAAGAAATCGAGAAGATGGGCCAGGATGCTCGGCAAGCCTTGATAGAGTAGGCCTCCCCCCACACCCATCCAATCAAGCTAACCCCTCCGCCAGACAAGCCAAAGCCCTCCAAGCCAGCCTCATGGAAATTGTCGATCGCGTCGAAGTGGTCAAGACGGAGCACGAAAAGCTCGAGGGCGGCAACAAATTCCTACAATCGTATGTGTTCCTTTAGTGTTCCTTGTCGCCGTTGCACTTGCTGACTTTGCCCAGATATATTGGCGAGCTGATGCAAACAAGCAAGTTGACGTCGGCCGGTGCCGGCAAAGCTTCAAAGGTCAAGGGCAAGGGCCGAAGCATCAAATAACAATCAGAGCGCCCACTCGCTCACCTGATGAGCACCGTCAGCTTACACCACGTCGGCCTTGTTCCCAACCCCCGACGCATCATGGACGCTACGCGCCTTTCGAATCCGCACTACCACGCCATCATGATGGTCTTTTGTCTCACTTATTGACTGGGCCATCGCTACTACCACCACCACCACCACCACCTTCATCTATCCTTACCTTTCGCGCACACGACACAAACATCACATTAACCGCGTTTACGAGCATCTTCTGCATAGCGGCACAGGAACTGGGGCAAATTCCGGCGTTTTTTCGTCTTTTCTTTCTTTTCGTTTCGTTTCGTTGCTCTCTCACCATCAACAAACATGTGCAATTCAGCATTCTCTCTCCACCACATCGACAACAGCTTGCTGCTACAACAAGCACACACCACCACCACCACCACCCCATACCCAAACCACAATTTCTTTTTTTTAGCTTTTGACGAACAAATCAAATGGCATCTTTTTATCTGGGGAGGTTTTCTCCCACTTAGGCTAGGGTTTGTGTTTACGTTTTACAAAGTGCGCGTGGGAGGGCTGGCTTCATTCTATATCGCAGCTTTTTTGTTTGTGTGTTTGCTATGCCTGCCTCTACCACATTTTTGCGATATTATACCACACCAACAATGGGCTCTCAAATTTATTCATCAAAGTTGCGGTTTTGCCTTGCCTATCTTGCGTCGTTGTTGTTTCCAATCGAGAGAGACTGAGAAAGAAAGAAAGAAAGAGTGTCTGTTATGGATGACAGAACCCAATTGGCGTAAATGAGGGGGTTTTTTTGAAGGAGTTTTACTTTTTTGTGTGTGAGAGAGAGAAACTGGAAACTGACTGGACTGGGGAGGGGACGGGGGGGGATTATGACGTCCCCTATCTTTTGATCGATTGATATGTTTGGTTTGGTTTGGTTCGAAATTCAATTCGACGAGATTTTTCTCTATACCAAGGATGCAGATGCAGCAGCTGAAAGAAGAAGAAGAATATTGATGATTGAGGGTTTTTTGAGTTTTGAAATTTGGTGTTTTTGCATTGCTCTTGTATCACAATCTGCGACTTGCGACTTTGCGACTTGCGACTTGTGACTTGCGAACTTGCAAAGCATGAATTTGAATCGGATTAACCCCCAAGCATTGTACCATCACAAGTCTGATTAACCCGCAAATACTGTTGTTGTATCCATACTAGAAAAGTGTTTGGGTGGTACTATATTATGTAACGTTGATGCTGTTTACTAGTTAAATGTTTTGATGCATAGTTAACCTGTGTTTCCTGTTTCCTAAAAGTTTTAATCAACTATGCATCCAAATCACTATTACTACCAAAAGTTCTTGATTAACAACGTCGTCGTCTGTTTATCGTTGTTATACTATACTATACTACGCACCCTATTAGCTACACACACACACTCGCTGGTTGGTTAGTATGAAACTCTATCCCCCTTTACATTTAAGTTTAAGTTTAAGTTTGAAGTTTACATCCACGTTTAATTAACCATTCCAACTCTCTCTCCTTTCTTTCCCAACCCTCTCCTTATCCACCCCGATTTCTCCTTTCATCGTTCTTTCCCCTTTCCCCTTCCCCTTTCCCATTCTAACATCAAGCACCCCCACAAAAGCTTAGCATGCGACAGAGAAGGAAGGAGTGCATAAGTGAAGCAGTCATGTATGTAGTCACGCAGTCACGCAGTAAAAATACCCACACATAATCTCACTCAATCTCAAACCAGTTTTCTACCAAATCTTGAAAGTTACAGGCTAAGCTCACAAGTCAAGCAAGTCTGTGTTAAAAAAATGCAATTATCAACCACGTGGCGCCGTTTCACCGCTGCGGATTTTTTTCTTTCATATTTTCTTCTTTTGCTTCGTCCGTGTGGCGTCAACATGTTTCTTCTGCCCGGCACCAGTATCCGTGCAAGTCCAAACTTGTCACTGTCACAGTCACTGTCAAACTCAAACTGTCCAAACGGCCGTCCGAACAAAACAAACAACTACGCCTCCGTCTTCACACCCAAAACATCCACCCACCCCCCCGGCATAACCCTCCCCCCCTCAACCCCCTCATGTAAAAACACCTCCCCATCAAACCCAAACCCCACCAACCCCTCCTCACCCCCCCACTCCCCAAGCCCACACAATCCCACCGGCACCCTACCCTCCCCTTTAATACCCTTCACAAAACCCACCGGAAACTGTATACAAGGCACACCCGTAAAATTCGCCAACCAAACATACTCCATATTGCGCAACTGCATATTAGCATCACTAACCCCATGACTAAGATCCCTAGGATCAATCGGCCAGCCCGCATTCGGCGTCGTAGGCGTAACGATGACGAGACCGGGGTGTTTCCGAAACAAGTGAGCGAGATGTTGCATCAGGAGGTTGCGAACGCGTTGAGCGAGGACAAAGTCGCTAGCGGGAGTTTGGCGGCCGACGGAGAGGAGGATGCGGTTCGGGGGCAGAGAGGTCGTAGACGGCTGTGTTTGTAGCTTGTAGCCCCCTCTGCCATGATGGTCATGGCGTGGGCGAGTTGGCCGTCTGTGGTGAGTGGGATTGTGATGTCTACTACTTCGTATCCGAGATGTTTTTCAAAGTAGCGTAGGGCGGTGTAGATGGCTTCTTGGACGGGTGCGTCGGCGCGGTCGAGCCAGGGTTTGTATATCCCGAGGACTTTGGGGCGATTGGCGGAGGCGTGTGGGTTGGGCGCGCGGAAGTGCGATGAGGGGAAGACGGAGGGGTCGGGTTGGGCGAGAACGCGGTATGAGATGGCGAGGTCGGACATGTTGGCTGCGAGGGGTCCGTGGGTGGTGACAGACGAGGTGGTGTCGGCCATTGGGGCCATTGAGACGCGCGAGTGACTGGGCTTGAGGCCGTAGATGCCGCAGTAGTTGGCGGGCAGACGAATCGAACCTCCGCCGTCTGAACCGATGGCAAACGGGATGAGGCCGTGGGAAACGGCGGATGCGGGTCCGCCGGAGGAACCACCCGTGTAGTAGCATGAGTTGTAGGGGTTTACTGGTGTGCCCCAGATGGGGTTGTTGTTGGTTGTATCTGAGGTTGTCAGTTCATATCGGGATGTAGATATATTCATAACTCACCCATGCCCAATTCATGCATCGTCAGCGTTCCCACCAAGATGGCACCTTCTTTCTCCAGCGCCCTGGCACAGAAGCTCGTCTCTCCCGCGCCGCCATTGCTAACGTCGTGTCTGGCGCCGATATAGCGCTTGTATCCCTTGACCTGCACGTCGTCCTTGACACCAAATGGCACGCCATCCAGCACACCCAGTGGCTGTCCCTCCTTATACCGCTGTGTCGATGCTGCCGCTGCCGCTCTTACAAGGTCCACCTTGGTGTCCATAAAGGCCGTCGAGTACGGCGTCCGTTGCGGCACATCTCTGCGGATGAGGGGCAACAGATGCTCTACGACATCGGTGGGTCTAAGTGTGCCGCTCAAGTAGGCGTCGTGGAAGTCTTTAATCGAGTAAAATCGACCATTTGTACCACTATCGGGTGGTGCGCGTAGGTTGGATGCATCTGTGTAGTTTGCGGGAGCTGCGTCGTTGGGCTGGGCAAGCGGAATCACGGTAGGATCGTAGCGGATGTCGACGCCGTCGATTTCCCTGAGATTGCGCAGTGAGGCGAAGCCGGCATTGCTCCACAAGTACGACTGCAGAAAAGGGACGGCTGCGACGCTGTGCTTGTTAGCTATCACGATGACATATTCACCAGGTACCAGAGCTCACAGAGTGGAAAGATGTTGCAGCAGCGGTCCCTTGAGCACGGGATTGTTTCCTGGTGGCGGGGCTTTGAAGGGTATGTCGTAAGCCTTGGGTGCTGGGTAGTTGATGAAGCCTGAATTGGGCGGTTGCATATCCGACATCTTGGCTGCCTAACTCAAAACCAATGACCAGTGTTGTTGAGGAATGGAATGAAGTTGTTGATTTCTATCTACTCAGTCTAGTCTTTTATGCCGCCACATTTAAACTTTCACAATATTAACAGGAGACTACATCGGCTTCATGTGACGTTTACTATCGCGAGGCGGCGTCATTGCGGTACACGACTTTCGGTGCCGGCCTTTACCAAGCTTTCCGAGGAGCCGAGCTATGAACGGGGTTCGAAGATATTCCACCTTTAATTGCTACTTGACTACTGCGCAAATCATACCAACGCCTATGCTCGCTGTTCTCGTATCCACTCCGCCATACCATTTCAGCCAACGACAACACAATTACTTGTCTTTCAACACAATATCAAAATGCTTTTCCAGTGTAAACCATACAATCCCAGTGTCCACTAATCACCCATCCTAGCATGGGAAAGCCGATATTGCTACACCCATCCCATGATATGCCCTTGTGGTCACGCCTCAGCTTGAAGCTAGTCCTCATCTACTGCTTTCCAGCAACCTCATCGCCCATACGGTTGTACTCCTTCTGCATGTTCTCGACCTGCTTCTTCAAGTTGGCCATGTCGCGGTCCTTTGCCTCGAGCTCCTTCCTGAGATCGGCAACCTCGCCGGGAGCACCGATATCCTTTGCAGACTTGCCCTTCTTGCCAGCGGGATCACCCCTGAGGCCCTTGACCTCCTCCTCGAGACGGAGGACATCGAGGATCATGACGTAGGTGCGGTTGAGGATGAGGGAGAGGAAGAGGGTGAAACCGCAGAGGTACATGTTGCGTTGCGAGTAGAACTTGCGAGCCTGGACTTCCATGCGTTCAATGCCACCAGCAGCAACACTGTTTGTTGTCAGCTTAGAATTGGTAATGTGGGGGTTTGTCTTACCCTGAGCGGCCCTGGTCATCGGAGCCAGAGAGCTCGATTTGTACGCGGTAGACGCGGTTGACACTGTCAATGAACAGGATCAGGATGAAGATGAATGTAATCTAACAAGGTCAGAATTGGCCACTGCCTAATGCAATGTTGCCATACCTTCATGCCATATTGTAACTTCGCTATTATGGGGCTCTCCGATATGAAGGTGAAGAGCTTTCGGCGCCATGTGAAGGGTAGAGGGACGATGAGAGCGCAGAAGATGAGCATCTCCGTCACCAAGAGGAGGAACACCTGTCAGTATAGTTAGTAAGGCCATGTCGTGAATTGGGAAGTATGGTGTGAGAGAGCAAAATAGCATTGAGCGCAGATGTTTTCATCTTGTGCAACTCAAACGTGATTGTACAAAGAGGGGCTTACCAGACTGTAGTAGAGCGTCATGATGGGCTACGTGGAGATATTCACACGACGTGAGCCGATGTTTGTGTGGGAGTGGGGTTGTGCAGCGTCAGCGGGGGACTGAGAGATGAGCTGGTCTGCGGCGAGTGCGGTACGCAAAAAGAGGTGATGATGGTGGAAAAGGCGAGGAAGGACAGCGCGAGTATTTGACACGAGAGTGGGAGAGCCGTAAGTGCCCGGTTGTAGTGAAGGCTGAAGCTCTACGTCACAGCTTTGCAGCCTGTCTAGCTACCTGCTACGTCTTAGCGCCTGCTATCGCCGGTCTAGCCTCTTCTAGCTGCATTTGCACCAACATTTTGAGACGGTGCTTTTTCTTCATTGAGCGTCACGCCAGCAAACACATATCGCATTACTGGCCTGATTGCGCTGCAGAAGATGACAGCAGAACAAGGGACAACCGTGGAGCACGGCCACTCTGTTCCAGAGGGTGCTGTCGCAGCCGACTCTAATAGCAGCAATGGAGGCGATGTTATGGTTGATGTGAAAAACGATGCGCCGTTAAGCCAGAAGAGGACAAGAACTAACAGTCAAGACCGCGATGGTGCTGATAGTGGTGTCAAGAGAGTGAAAGGTGTTGCGCCTATCAAGGCAGAGTGCGCACAACCACCACATGAAGTATCTCACGTGCTAAGACCACCAGATTTCTGATCCATCGAAACGACAACAAGCCAAAAGATGCAGGAGTGGACGACGATGCAGCCGAGGCTGCCGACGCTGAGCACAAGAGTGAGGGTTTGCCCAAGACCGATGCTCGCGATGGCCCAAGGAAGGGCAAGAACAAGAAAGAGAAGAAGCAGAAAGGTCAAAACACGAGTCGCACCTTTGGAACCTCGCGAGACAAGATACCTCTCTGTGGCACTCGCGCAGTGTACAATGAATTCTCGCCAAAAGAGTGCCCATTTGGCGAAAAGTGCAAGTTTGAACACGATCTCCGCAGGTATCTAAAGGAAGGCCGACGGGCAGATCTGACGACTCTCAACGGCCAATGCCCCGTCTACAGCGTCAAAGGCTTCTGCCACTTTGGCTGGAAGTGTCGATTCGTAGGCAGCCACTCCGAAGAGCGCACTACGGAGGACGGCAGGCAAGAGCTGGTTCTGAAAGAAGACGCCGAGCGCAAGGCCAAGTTATCTGGGCTTGATGACGAGGCGGAAGCCGAAGTTGTCAACGTTGTATCCAAGGACATCAAGATTGGGTTGTCTAGAAGAAAGATTGGCACTCCACGGTCTGACCAGTACCTGGAATGGATTGAGACCAATGCACGCAACGAACGAGAAATGTTCGATGCGGCTCAGATGGATACGGAGATTCTGAAAGAGGAAAAGGAGGCACGCAGGGCAGAGTATGTTGAGGCGCCCTTTAGACCTTCAGAGAAGCGTAGGCTTTACTACGGCCCCGAGACGCCAATGCTCGCTCCTCTCACTACACAGGGAAACATGCCCTACCGCCGCCTCTGTGTCGACTTCGGCTGCCAAGTGACATGGAGTGAAATGGCCATGGGCATGCCACTGATCCAAGGAGACAAGGGCGAATGGCCACTCATGAAGGCCCACGAGTCCGAAATCAGCCCCCCAAAGTTCCTCGGAAAGAACACCGTCGTCCAAGGCTACGACAATTCCAAGGACCTCAAGTTCGGCGCCCAAATCGCCGCAAACAAGCCCTGGCTAGCCACCAAAACAGTAGAAGTACTAACAGAATACTGCCCCAAACTCCGCGCCATCGACCTAAACTGCGGCTGCCCCATCAACCTCGTCTGCGAAAAAGGCAGTGGCTCCGCCCTCCTCGATAGCGAAGCAAAACTAGAGCACATACTCCGAGGCATGAGCTACGTCTCAAAAGAAGTCCCCATCACGGTAAAAATCCGCATGGGCACAAAAGACAACCACCCCACTGCCCAAAAGCTCATCAAGCGCCTCGTCCTCGGCGGCCACGAAGCCGTCGAATCCGGCAAGGGTACTTCAGGCGTCGCAGCCATCACGCTCCACGGCCGCAGCAAGCAACAACGCTACTCCCGCAGCGCAGACTGGTCCTACATTGCCGAATGCTCTGCCCTCATCTCCCGCCTCCGCAAAGAACAAGCAGCCGCCACCGACACGGCCGCTGAAATCGACCCCCGCGATCTCGCCAACGGCGGCCACGTCTACTTTGTCGGCAACGGCGACTGCTACTCGCACGAAGACTACTACACCCACCTCGCCAACGCAGGCGTCGACACCGTCATGGTCGGCCGCGGCGCGCTAATCAAACCGTGGCTGTTCGAAGAAATCGAAAAGGGCCAATATCTCGACAAATCCGCGTCTGAACGCCTCACCTACATTGAAAAGTTTACCAAATACGGCTTGCAGACTTGGGGCTCGGATGAAATGGGTATAGGTACTACACGCCGTTTCCTACTTGAGTGGCTCAGCTTTGCGCATCGCTATGTTCCGGTGGGCTTGCTGGAGCATTTGCCGCCGAATATTCAGGACCGACCGCCGCGGTTTAGGGGCAGGAATGAGTTGGAGACGTTGATGGCGAGTGAGCATTATAAGGATTGGATTAAGATTAGGTGAGTACTTTTTTGACTGGGGTGAGGGAGTGAGGGCTAATGCTTGTGTTACAGTGAAATGTTCCTTGGGCCTGCGCATGAGAACTTCAAGTTTGAACCCAAGCACAAATCTAATGCTTATGAGTTTGAGGCTGAGGGATAGAGTGGTGGGATGGATGGGAGTGAGGAGTGTGAGTCTGGTATCATGGCATTGCGGAAGGAAAAGTCTATGGAGTGATTAAGTGGCCAGACATATATATAAGTGTATTGCCTCTACTCAGGTATATTCATAGTATCCAAGTATTCTCAATCATACACATACATACACATTTTGTGAAAAAAGCGTCGCTTCAGCAGGCATATCGCCAGACAACTTAGCTAAAACACAACTTATACATGCTCACTCCAAAAACCCCACCAACGTCTCCAAAACTTCCCTCTCCGCCCCCTCTACCTCCAACACCCCATCAAGCTGCGCCTGCAACGTCTTCTTAACATCCCCCAACCCCTCATCCCTCTCCGCCAACGCTTCCACAACCGCCTTCTTCGCCCCCTCATCCTCGGCCACCAACCACGCCAACACAGCATCGATCCTCTCCAAACAATAAAGCCCCCCCTCACTCAACCTCTCCGCCACACTCTGCAGCTCCAGCTCTTCTCGCTCCTCCACGCTCAACCTCCTTTTCCTCTCCGCCATCTTGGCATCGAAAGCAGCCAGCCGCACGACGTAGGTTCTCCGTAAAAGAACCAGTTTATATATCTTCGCGCAGTCTTTTTCGAGGAATTTGGCGAGCAGGCGGAAGCGGGCGTCGGAGTTTCCGGGTAAGGAGCGGAGGAGGGAGGAGAGGATGCTGAGGATGTGTTCGATGAGGGAGGGGTCTAGTTTTTTGTGCGATTGTGTGGAGGAGGTGGATGTGGATGTGGGGGAGGGGGTTGATTTTGAGAAAGTGCTGAAGAGGGGTTTTAAGCCGCGGGATTCGATGACGCGGGTGCATATTGCTGAGGCGGTGTTTGTTGCTATTTCTGCTTCTGCTTCTTCTTGGGCTGGGGCTTTGCCTTTTGCGTTGCTGTCGCCGTTGGGTTGTGCTGCTTCTTCTGCGTAACCGCATGCGTGGTCTAGTACTTTGAGTGCGCGACTCTTACTCGTCTTCCCATCTCGTATAAACAGCAGACAGAGTTCCACGCCTTCTGCTTCTAGGAACTTTGTTTTGCCTAGCGGTTCCTCGGTGATGGACGAAAGACAATTGAACAGATTCTCCATGTATTCCTCCTCGTTGCTGTCCTTCTCAGGGTCATCTCGGCGGTACGGCGCGAGGTTCGTAAGGAAGATTTCCACGCCGTTTGCTTCGGCGATGTGGTTTCGATTCGAGCGCGAGGATTGTGTGAGGATGGAGAGAATTTCAGACGCGTATTGCTTGTTTCGCGATGTTGGGGATTCTGGTTTTTGGATGCGGTCGAGGAGCCATTTTAACAAGGCGGGCTGTCCGCCTATTATGTCGGTGTTTGCGGGTTGTGAGAGCAGGTTCTCAATCACACTCAGAGAGTTGTAGACACCAGATGCGTCGGCCTCGTCCGTCTCGTCGAAGCGCGAGAAGTTGGATATGAGCAGGCTGAGTAAGTCGGCCTCCATGAACGCTATAACTAGCGCATCCCATTGCTCCTGCTCGCCTGCTACGTCCTCATCTGTAAGCTCTGAGATCATTTCAATCGCCGCAATCGCAATGTCTGTGTTCTCATGCGCCAGTAATTCCACCAACTTTGCCGCCGCCGTGCTGGTCGCGAACTCCTCGTAGAGCTCTAGGTGTTCTGATAGTATACTCAACGCCTTTATCCCTTCATCCAAGTCGGCCTCTGAGTCCATAAACTTTGTAGGGTCGTCCTCGTACTTTGCGCGCAACGACGCATTCTTGTTGACCTTCTTCTCAAAGTTGAGCGCCAGCTTGCGCACCCATGGTATATCGTATTTTTCGTCCTGTATGACTTCATCGCCATCTTTTGCGTCTATGTATTCCATTGCGTCCCGCGCATTCTCGTCCAAGCCGTCGCCAAAGAAACGTCCCTCGTCATCGTCGCCTGGCCCATCGTCTTCAAAGTCCGGCGGTAATGAAGGGCCAGCCTCGTCGTCGTCGTTGTCTTCGTCGGCTACCGAGGCTTGCGCTTTGACGTCACCGTTTGTACTGAGTTTTACCGACTTGTACGATTGCATTGGGTCGGCTTCTTTTGGGTTCTCGAATTTGCGCTTCGTCGTGCCGTTTGCGCTCTTGAAGAGCTCGTCGATGCTCGTCATTTTGTGTACGCGATTTTTGGCAAGAAGAGGGAAATTAAGATAGGTACAGTGAAGGAGAAATTGCTGGTTTGCGGAAGGCGCGTTTCTTGCGAACCTGAGCAGTTGAGTGAGGGATGGTCAGAGCTCTGCTAGCGCGTTTGGTCGTGCAGTCGTTCTTGCTTCTACGCAAGGCTGCATCTCGGTCTACTTCACCCATCCTGCCTCCCTACTTTGCGACTATGCTGCTGTTCGGTTACTGATGCACATTTGATGTTCAAGATGAACGAGAAGCAATATCAACAGATGCTATATTGGGACATTTACGCAACTGCAAGACTCTAACGACATCAGAGAACTACAGGCACATGTGCAACTCTAGATGGCTAATTCCCATTCATACCTATGTTTTCTGGAAAGAGATAATACAGCACGACCGAATCTTGTGTTTCGTCCCTTCCACAGTGACAACGACATTTCAAATCGCCATTGCCCAATCAAATATATCGAGGCACCATGTACATCCAGGTGCGCTTCTCGGAGTAACTCCTTCCTATGTTGGTCAGCCCACTTTCCAACCTTTGGAAGCTCACTGCTGTCTCGTTCCTGTTTCTAACATCCCGTCACCCAATTCATATCACGAACATCTCCATAACCCTATTACATCCACTTGTCAGCCTATCGTTATATAGAATGAGCTTAAACGACATTCCTGCCGACTCCGCTGAGCATCCTGTTGATTCAGGCGGTGTTACTATCGCCTTGGACGAGCCTGTTGTTGATTCAGGCGGTGTTCCCATTACCGTGGACGAGTCTGCTGTTGATCCAGTTGATGTTCCTGTCACCTTGGACGAGTCTGCTATCGATTCAGGCGGTGTTTCTATCACCTTGAGCGATTCTGCTATCGATTTAAACACACCTCCTATTCTCACAGTCGTGTGCCCCAGCACCCCGAACAATGCTGAGAGAAGACCGAAACGTTTAAATGCGCTTCCTGGTGATCTCTTCTCCATGGTCTGCGACTCGATGGATTGGAATTCACACCCCGAGCGTACTGGCCTCCTATCACTGCGTCGGACATGCCGTAACAGCTACGAAAAATCAGAATTCACCATGTCGAGACTATTTCCTTTGACTATAACATGGTTCAGCCTCGAGGCAAGCTCACTCGCTGTTTTTCTTAGCTTATCAAGCAAACCTCGGTTTGCCAGATACATGGAGATGGTATATATCGTATCTGATCGCCCGTCAACCCACCCCAAAGAATATGAAGACGAGTATAGCCCTGTGAGGACTGAGGAGGCAGCGCTTATACTCGCCCAATGCTTTCGCAACTTGCAAGGCACACTACGATGGCTGATGTATTCCGAGGGGACATCAAACTTCATGGGACTTACGACAATTCTCCGCGCACTACAGGTCTCTCAATTTCCAAGATCATGAAACGAATGCTAGTTGGGGAAGTCTGGCAGGGTTAACAGAGTTTCGACGCTACATCAGAAGGGCTGAGATCCATAGCCCAACGCTCCGGCCTGGGCAGTGGTTGGCACCACACCAAACAGAAGAGCGACAGTATCGACTGGGCCTGGATCCGTTGCAAGTCGCCTTTGTTACCAAGGATGTTGACGTTCTTCAAATTGCCACAGCTCGCGCTTATCAAAATTTCGGCTATCTCGGCTTCCTTCGGTGGGAAGATGAAAACGAATTCCTGTACTCCTGGTTTATCAAAGAACTGCATTATCCCTTTCTAGTCAATCTTTGTCTGAGCGGCTTGTTGTATATAAGTGGTAGCCAGTTCTGCAAATTCCTCGAAAGACATTCCGCAACCCTGTCAACATTCCATGCATCGATGACAGCTCTGATGGACGGATCATGGACAGACGTTTTCACCGAACTAAGAAAACTACCGCGTATCAAACACGTTGGATTTCGTAAGCTATATCAGAAGAAAGTGGTAAAGGAAGACATTGTGCTTCCCAACAATCACCATGTACTCCCATTCGATCACGAGATTTGTAGCAACCAAGTGAAAGCTTTCCTCGACGAAATGATCACCTACCACAAACTTTACAACGGCTACTGGAGCCTTGCGCATCCGACACATTACTGGCAAGTCGTCATCTTCAATGTCCCAAGTCTAAGTATGTACTCTGTCAGAAAATATGAATATGACCCGTTCAGTGTGGTTTGGATCTTCTGTTCTAAACAAAGCTGGTCAAATTTCTGATATCCAGGTAGAGATGGGAAGAGTTATTGTGGTCGTCATTTTTGTAGCACCATAGTTATGCCAGCAACAATAGACATTGCTTGTTGCTGCTACTTTCAGTTTTGCGACGTGTCCAATTGAATCATCCAAATTAAAAACGTAATCATATGAATAGCCTTTCATGTCCAATCAATTTAGGGTTTCTCCTGACCTTCAGCTGTTGCGCGCTAGTCTTGGCAGTCTACCTACCCACGCAGTCGTGCTTACGAGATCTGCTTACCCCACAGCTACAGCGTTCCCCAGAATTTGTATAACAAACCCCCAATCTCGATAAGTTAATCATGGGGACACGCATGCCGGGGTGAGCGCCCGATCAGCAAAGCCTTATACTGTGATTGTCAAGCCGTGATATACATACGTTGCGCTATTGGACGCCGCCAAGGGGAGCTGAATGAATTACTGCGACATGATGCGTTCACAGGGCTGAGACAGAGTCTGGATTGCTTTAGAGTTGGCCATGGCTTGCTACTGTGCACGGTAGTGGTTGTGCGGTCTTACTTAGGTGTATCTCAGCCAGCCCCAAGCGTCGCCATCGAGATCCTGTCGCAAACACGTTGCACACCCAACACAGACTGCGAGTATTAGCAACTTCCTGGAAACACGATTGAACGACCATGCGACAACGAAAAGTCGTGAAAACTGGATGCGATGCCGTTTTGTCAAGACTTAGTGTGGGCTGACGAGGAACATGGGTGGCAAATATAGTCAGGCTGGCACCCGGGTGTCATAACATACTGGACGTAGCAGTGTAAAACAGTCACTGTAGTCGCCAGACACCGAGGTTCGTAACATATACACATATGAAATTAGAAATTAACCTCTTATGAAGGTCTAACAGAGAACAACGCCGGCAAGGGTATGGTGCCTTTCATGATGCGATGACCCGCTCTATTTATCCCGATCCATGATTTTCTAACGCCGCAGCGACATATCCAGCACAAAAAGGAAATCCGTACACATAAACACACTTAGTAGTTGAAGACCGTCAACGATGGGTTGAGCACAATAGGCAACAGACAGTGCATAATAACGGTGACAGACCAACTATAGGCAGGGTTAGTGACGTTCTCGAGTTTTGGGATCAAAAAGTGGTACTTACGGCAACACGGCGGTGAGGCCGGTGATTTCCCAACCATGAGGAGCGAAGCAACCAAGATAAATCATGCCTCCGATCATGGCAATCATGATCAGATACATCCACTTGAAGCGCTTCCAGATTTTGGGGATTTCGGCGAAGAAGTTGGAATTGTCCTTCTCCTTGGCCGTGGCTCCCCAGCTCATGTCGATGGAGAACATGTGGGCAAGGATGGCGAGGAGGATGTGGAACGAAACTCCGCCGAAGAAGATCATGAAGAAGGGCATCCACTTCAGGTTCTCGAAGAAAGCACCAAGCAGACTGGCCTCACCGATACGGTAGCGCATGATGGCGAAGCAGACGTTGGACATGCCGTTGAAGACGATAAGCAAGACGATGAAAACTACAGCATGTTAGTATACATATTCTCCAAACACATAGAAAAGGTTAACATACTCTTCCAGGACTCAACATAGTATTTGTCAAGGTCACCGTTGAGCCAACCGACCAAGAAGTAGTTGAGGGCACCGAGGGGAACAGCAGATCCCAAAGCGTAGTACGAGAAGATGTATCCGCAAATGGAAATCTTGGAAGACAACTGGATATTGGAGAAGAGGAACGTGCGGAAGAGCTTGGTGAAGGGAGACTTCCAGAGCCACGTGCGCATGGGGTTGAAGACCAACTCGTTGCAACCATAAGCGTACTTCTCCCATCGGTCCAATTCGTCGAAGATAGACAGCGACACACCCTCCTTGAAGCCACGACCGTGGTAACTAGCCAGGCGGACAATGTTACCCTTGATCTGGAGACGAAGCGCGATATCGAAATCCTCAGACACGTGGCTCTCCGACCAGAAGCAGACGTAGCCATCTTCTTCCGGGGCGTTACCGACGGACTGGACAGCTTGCCATCGCAAGAAAGCATTGTGACCGACGAAAGGAGCGACCTCGCCGCTACCGACTGAGAAGCGAATGGCAGTGTAGACAAGGTTGGTGAAGTAGGTAATGCCGTTCTCAAAGTAATCCCAGGACACTTGCATGACACCGGTGGCGTGCTGGACAATGGCGACTTCGGGCGACAGGAACATCTCGGCGGATCCGTACATGAGGCAGTCTTCGGGAACAATGGTGTCAGAGTCGACAATGAGGATGATCTCACCCATACGAATGTTGCCACCGGCCTTTGCGCGAGGATCAGAAGTAAGAACCTGGTCGAGAGCCTCGTGGTAGAGGGCGAGTTCCTCCTCCTCCGAGATGGAAACGAGGCCATCGCCCTTGTCGAAACGGTTGTCGACCAGCCCCTGAAGTACATCCTCGACGCGGTTGGAGATGTTGAGAGCAAAGTTCATGTTGGAGGCCTTCTTGAACTTTCCGCGGCGGACGAAACCTTCAAAGTTGTGCTTGGGGCGAGATACCCATCCGATGTTGTTGTTCTCGTAGAATTGCAGAAACTTGGCGTTGTCTTCTTCCGATCGCACGGCCATGCCATCGTCGTTGATGAAGATGCGGGCGGTTCCTCCACGGGACTCGTAGTAAGAGATGGCAGCTTGGAGAGAGGCGACGGTGGGCTTGACGACACCTTCCAGAGACTCGGTGTAGATGGGCATCTGAATGGTAATGGTTGAGGGGGCGAAACCGAGAGCGCGGGCCTGGGCGAGGTTGGGCTTGATGGCGGAGTGGAAACGACTGTTGGTCTTGACACCAGTGATGGGACCAAAGACTTCGAAGATGTTACCCAGAACGACAACGACGAAGAAAAGACCTAGTGCAATCCAGAGAGGCTCGGTCAGGACAAGGGCAATGCGAGGGTAGAAGTGGTCGGTCATGGTCTGGAGGATAATGGCCTTGTTACCGAGACCAATAACGAGGACGATGATCAAAACCATGGCGAGACCGACGAAGATGGAGCTGGTGAAGATGAGTGGACGAGCTAGAGACTCCCTTGGTCCTTCACCCTTCTCAACGTCACCATCAACCTCCTCTGCGTTGACCTCGACATCATCCTTCTTGTCGATGACAAAGTCGACTGTGGAGCCGCCAAGAGTGGAGTTGGCACTGGACTGGATCGCGCTGTCGAAACCACTAAAGGGGTTCTTTGCCGTACCCCAAACCAAGGCCAAGATTCTTGACTCAACCTCCATGGCCTGGGAAAGAATGGCACCAAGGTCGTCGTGCCATACGAGGAGTAGCCGTTCCTGGCGGATAAGAGCAGCGTACTGGAATTTGCGGATTGTGGATGAGGTAGCGACCTCTGCCATGGACTCAAAGATCTGAATCTGGGAACCGTTCTGGAACATCAACTCCGTCTCAAAGGGCTCAAGCACGTCGAAGATGGCTTGGGTGCCGTCGGTGCTCATGGTCAGTGCGACACCAGGGTTGATCCTCTTGACTGCTGAGAGGAGGTCGCTGTTGGCTGCCACTGGCTCTGTGACATACTCTCCTTGACCCTTTCGGATCAACACACCTTCGCATGAACCGGGAGCAAGAGCTCCTGAAGTCATCCATCGCATGGAGCATGCCTTGGCGTAGAGGTGCTTGATGATCTAGAAGATGTTAATGATACTCCAGGAGATTACATGATTGCTGATTACTACTTACGGCACGGTATCTTGAGTCTTCGTCAATCTTCATGGTCAACGGCCGCGCTAAGCTAGGACGGCTGCCGGGAGTCTGGGGTACGCGGAGGTCCGAGACACTGCCACTCAGTGACTGCCGGCTCGATGGAATGTATGGCCGGTCCATGTCGAACTCGTGGGATGGGGTAGCGGAAGACATCTTGGAGATGTCGCGACAATTACAAGCCGCAGTAAGGGTATCGACTGGAGTTTGTGCTAAGCGATAGTGAAATGCCGAGCAGGATACCAAAAGACACGAACGAGGATCGGAAACGAAGGTATGGGCAAGGAGCCCTGTGAAGATCAGCACGAGCACAAGAGTGAAGAGCCTGGGAAGCAAAACGAAGTGGTCGACACGGAGAGGTTATCAAGGCGGCACAGCTGGTAGTGTCTACACACATTCCTCCAGGCTACGGCCCTACGCGAACATGGACCCGCCACACTGCTTAGCGACCAGGTCAAAGATACACTCATGCTACACACTATCGAAACATTCGGTACCCCCCTGGTCTAGCATGCCCGATGCTCAACAAGATTTCGTACGCCAACGTCCCGAAAGAGGTCACTGCGTCTGTCACAAACGCTATCTCGCAGACATCATCACCATCCAGAACCGGCGGAATTGCAGGCCGCCATCTGCCCCTAGCCATCCTGACATGTATTGTCAATCCTTGCTACGCACGCCCCGGTCGCTCTCCCGATCTCTGGGCCTTTTTTGGGGGGCTTTCATGTGGGCCTGCCTGTGGCCTGCATGTTGGCAACCTGATAATCTAACTAGCGAGCAACGAGGATTCGTTTCGCCGGCACAAGACGATGAAACTACGAGATTTCAATCAGCCGGCAATAACGAGTGTCGGGTACCTGACATGGCGAGCGCTTGTCCCTAGACCAAGGGGGAGAAACTAGTTAGCCGCTGCTATAATGGGAGAGCGCCACACCTGACGTTTTGGCTTGATACGCAAATGGCCTGACAAGGACTTTGTCGTTTTGGCGAGGTCAGCAAGCTTGTGGATCTCCTCGGCTTCACATGGCGCCAGTGCCAGTGCCAGCGTGCTGCCGGCATCCCACGTTGCTGCGATTAGAAAAAGCCTGGAAAGTGGATCCAATCTATATCCTAGCCCTCGGCCCAAGCATCTGGAGTGCTGGAGACCGGAGTTCCTTGACGTCGTGCAGACACGGTCACGCTTGGGCCCTTACGAGGGGACAACAACACGACGTGCCGTCACCAGACTTTTCGGAAAAGGGTACACGGCGGCAATGCGAATTGCTTTTGGACGTTTACGAGCCCTGCGTTTGGATCCAACGTCGGCAGTACGACCAATCACCACCGTTGCAGCCAAATCCTACCAGTCACGATAAGCATCCCTGCGTCAGTGTCACTGTCCCAGGTGATGTTAAGATTAGGACCGCTTGCCGTATTTGTTGATTCTACTACGCCCGCTCATTGAACAACACAGAGGGCAGCTAGCCACTGTGCAGCCACACGTCGCAAGTTTTGCACTCTGCTGCATGACGCGATGCTCAGACTGGACGTGTCGAGTCAGTGGGTTAGGCGACAGAGTTCGAGAGCTCGCAGGCAGTGGAGCTCGGAAAGTGCAATGCACTGCCCAGTATCGGCCATGGCAAGTGGCGCGTGTAATTGATCTACCGATAAGTCGGCAGCAGGGCACTGAGGTGTAGGATTTAGCCACAAAGGTGCAGATAAGACATGGCCGAGGGTGGGAGAATACGGCTATCAAAATCGTGCATCTTGCCACTCCCCATTCAGACTGATACGCCGAGCCTTTACGGTCCCAGGCCTCGCTCCAGAACCGGGTGCAAGTCGGGCTCTTTTCATCGACACAAGCGTCCACGCATGGGAAAAAGGTCGGTCGGATTCGCATGGGCGCTGGCAATTTGGAACAGATCGGCCGGGCGCTAACTTGAGCCAGGAACAGGCACGAGCCATGAGATGATGTGCCGTGGCGGCCGACATCCAAGCCTCATCAACGACGTCAAGTGTCGAAGCTCGGCGCACCACTGCCGTATCGCCTAGCGGCTTGTGGCCTCGCAACTTGGAACAACAACTGCAAGGCTGTCACACTAGCCGCGTGCTTATCTCGCAACCCTCCAGGTACCTGCATCTAAGCGAGCGCTGGTGGCTTCGACACTACTGTGCACTATTCCAAAAGCTCCATCCGGCGACTGGTCTGTAATCAAGGTGCACAATCTGCCCCCTGCTCGTGCAGCTGCCTTTCCGTCGAGTACGGCATTGATGCTTGGGAGCGTATAGAGTCTTCTAAATCTAGACTTGAGAAGCCGTCAACCATCGCTCTTCCCGAAGACGGCTCACTCTACTATCGATTCTTTACGCCGCAAAACTCGCTTGAGCATTGTATACTTCAGCTCTCCACAACGTCTTTCGCTTTGACCCTGTGTGTTTGTTTGTCAACTTCTTTAAGCGAGCTCACTGCGGCAATATACTGCCTTGCCATCGCTGAGCCTTTGGGAATTTCTCCATTCCGCGTTTGACATCTTTTGCTGTTACACATTCAAAGATGCCTTCCTTCTTCAAGCGTAACAAGAAGGCTCCCGAGGAAGCCCCACCTACAACAGCACACTCCCAAGATGTCCCTGACCTGCCTGCTGGCATGTCACAAAGACGTCCCGATACGGCGTCTATGCCCTACGTCCCCAGGACTCCTTCTAACCTAGCATTCGCTGGCCCAGTCTATCAAAATCAAATAGGTGCTGCTGACTTGCGGAAACAACCCCGACCATTCAAGAGTTACCGGCTACGCGGAGAGTATGTCTTGCATCGTATAAACTATATGATATCACAGAACTAACTAGAGATGTAGACGTGAGCAGCCATGGGTCAATGATCCAAGAATGAAGAAGACCAAGGTCGGCAACTGGATCACCTTTGGTTTCATCATGATTGGTGTCTGTGTCAGTGGATACATCATGTACACTGGTGTACAAGAGGCGCAAATACCTGATGTACGTCATCTAGATACTCACTGATAGTCTGTGCTGACACTGAGTAGCAATGTCTTATCATGGATGATCACTTTGAAAAGATTGACCCTGCCAACTGGGGCTACGAGATTCAGGTATGCGTCAAGTGTCAACATCACACAGGTCCCATACTGACCAATTCTTTCAGACTGGCAACTATGGTAACGGCGAGTTTGACTGGACCACCGACGACCCAAAGAACAGCTTTGTCGATGCTGATGGTCTCCACATTGTCCCAACCCTTACCACCGAATCCACCGGCATCACTCAAGACCAACTCATGAACGGATACACATTGAACATTACCAAGACGTCCGGTGATGGCTCCTGCACATCTGACGACTACAAGTCTTGCGGTGTCCGGTCCAACGCTACTCTCGGAACGATTATTCCCCCGGTCCGGTCTGCACGTATGACAACCAAGGGTAAGAAGGCTATCAAGTACGGTCGTGTCGAAGTTGTTGCCAAGACAGCCAAGGGTGACTGGCTATGGCCCGCCATTTGTATGTTGCCAAGTTAACGTGCACAATTACCGATCAAAGACTGACAGTAGAATCTAGGGATGATGCCCCAAGACAATGCATACGGCGAATGGCCCCGCAGCGGAGAAATTGATATCGCTGAATTCCGCGGTAACAACTACACCTACCCCGAAGGCCGTGACTTTGTCTCTTCCACCCTTCATTGGGGCCCCGACTACAAGCACGACGGCTACATCCACACCCACGGCCAATCCTTCTTCCGCCGCACAGACTTTGCCTCGAGCTGGCACACATTCGGTCTTGAGTGGACCGAGAATTACATCATGATGTACTTGGACGGTCGTCTCAAGCAGGTCATGTACTACAAGTTCAACGACAGGAACAACCTATGGAAGAAGGGTGGCTTCAACGGCGTCACTACTAGCAACGGAACCCTTATCGACGACCCATGGAGGCTTGGCGGTAACAACGCGCCTTTCGACGAGAAGTTTTACCTCATTCTCAACGTCGCGGTTGGTGCTCAGAACGGCTGGTTCTTTGATGGCGAGGGCAACAAGCCCTGGGTCGATGGCAGTGACTTTGCTGCCCGCGACTTCTGGAATGGTATGTTTAATTCCACCAAGTTATAACAGCAACAGCTAACATTTGCACTAGCCAAGGACCAATGGCTTCCCACCTGGGGTGAGGGGACCGAGCGCGGTATGACTGTCAAGTCTGTCAAGATGTGGCAGGCCGGCAAATGCTAGTTCCGATTATAGTTCAGCCCTGAACTCCTTGTTTCTTTCTTCCTACTTTTTGCTTGCCGGACGATGAAGTCAGCACGGCTCATTATTTCTTTTCCGCCCACACACACGGCACATTAGACACATGTTTTGTATCCGCATATCGGCATTGGTAGAGGCGCATGGGGGCGCCATCCGAGTAAACAAAACTCACATGCAGCGCAAGCATGTAACATTTTTCCAATAGAGATGAGATTACATAATCAATAACTTCAATCACACACGGCACACATACATGCAGTATTACACGGTGGCAGGTGGTGTGTGGTTACATGACGCCTCGTATCCGTCATGCAGAAATCTATCGGAAATGCAGTGCGACATTGTCAGAACGGACGGCTCAACCGGCGCTCGTGCAGCGTTACACTTCGCCGCACACATGGATTTGGGGTGTTTATTTGCTCCGGCAACATGCGCGCATCATCTACTTTGCGCGCAGCGCGAAATAAGATTTGGCAAGGGGACAAGCGAACAGAAGCATCGAGATCAAGCTAATGATGACCACTAGCCACGCCATCCCGCAACGGGGGTGGTCAGCACTTTCATCTGCTCTTCCCGCCTGCGTGCGTTCGTTCGTTCGTCCGTTTCCTCCGAGGCTTTTGTGGCGCTTTTTTCTCGCTCGCAGCTCGCACGCAGAGCCTCTAATCGACAAACCACGCCAACAAAAATGCACCGGTTCCAACTTTACTAGTTCTCATCCCACCCACCCACATCCACATCCACATCCACATCCACACACCCACGCTGCATGCACGCCTCACAACACAATAACAACAACCCTGTCACATCCTCACTCTCAGCCTCACGTTCCCAGTT